TCCAGAATGAAATTGGCGAAAGAGGTCGGAGTAACACATTTATTAGTAAAGACTGACTCCCAACTAGTGGTCGGATAAATTAAGAACAAGTACTAGACGAAGGATTCCACCCTGATAAAGTACCTTCAGAAAGCTTCAGGAATATCCAAAGCATTCTCAGAATTCGAAGTCGTCCATATCCCAAGAGAAGACAATGCCCGAGCCGACCTCCTATCCCGATTAGCAAGCTCAAAGAATTCAAGAATCAATAAGATTGTGATCCAGAAGTTCTCAAAGCACCCAACATTCAATTAGAGGAAATATTAACAATATAGGATGTCCAAGGATGGATGAGCCCCATCATCAGCTAACTGACCCAGGAAATATTAGCTAAAGATTTCAATGAAGCCCGAAAGATTAAAAGAATAGCCTCCTGATACATCATAATCTCGGACACGCTGTACAAGATGGGCAGGTCAACACCTATGCTCAGATGCGTGTTAGAGCCTGAGATTGAACTAGTAATTAAAGAGGTCCACGAGGGAGCCTGTGGTAGCCACATCGGTAGGAGAGCACTATCCAAAAAAATCCTAAGAGTCGAGTACTATTGGTCGCATATGAGGCGAGGTTGTATCGAGTACGTTAGCAAGTGAGGAAAGTGCCAAGTATTCACTCCAATTAAACGCCTACCAGCTGATTCGCTCCATTTGATTTCATCTCCATGGTCGTTCAATCAGTGGGGAACAGACATCCTAGGACCATTCCCAGTTGCTTCAGGACAACTTAAGTTCCTAATCGTTGTAGTTGACTATTTCACGAAATGGGTGGAAGCCGAGGCTATTGCTCGGATCTTTGCTGAGAGGGTTCACAAATTTTATTGGAGGAATATCATATGCCGGTTCGGTTTGTCGAGAATCATAGTCTCAGATAATGGAGCCTAATTTGTAAGCACCTCCGTCATAGACTTTTGTAGGGATTATTGAATAAAAAATAGGTTCACATCTGTAGAACACCCCTAAACCATAGTCAAGCAGAAGCTGCAAACAAGGTTATCCTAGGAGGAATACAAAAGAAGCTCGAGAAGGCAAAAGGAATGTGAGCCGAGTACCTACCCGAGATCTTGCGGTCATACCATACAACACCACATTCTACCACTCAAGAGACACCCTTTAGGATGATGTATGAAGATGATGCAATGATACCAGTGGAAATCAACACCCCGACTTGGAGGCGTGAACACTTTGATGAAGTCGCCAACATGGATAACTTGAACATCTCAGCTGATCTGATAAATAAGGTTAGGGAGACAACACAGGTCAGAGAAGTTACTGCAAAACAGAGGTTCGCAAGAAGATACAACCTGAAAGTCTGGCAGAGGGAGTTCTAGGAAGGTGACCTGGTCTTGAAGAAAATCACAGACCCAAAAAACAAGGGAAAGCTTACTCCCAACTGGGAAGGCCCATTCAGGTTACTTTGAAAACTAAACAACGGAGCCTACAAGCTGGAAACATTATAGGGAGTAGAAATATCCAGGACATGAAATGTATCCAATCTTAGGCTATATTTCAACTAAATATCATGTAGTTCAATAACGAATAAAGGATCCGGGTTGCACTCTTTTCCCTTACAAGGGCAAGGGTTTTTAACGAGGCACCTGGACTTAATTTTTTTTATGTCTTGTTTATAGGTATTCGGCTGAAGATGGTTAGTTATAACTCGGAAAACTCCTATAAACGTGTTGACTTGCTCCGCATACATATGTCTCCCATAAACGCTCTGCGTACAAGGGTTGATTAAACTTCTAAATGTGTTGACTTTCTTCACATACACAGGTCACCCATAAACGCTCTGTGTACAAGGGTTGATCAAACTCCTATAAACGTGTTGACTTGCTCCGCGTGCATAGGTCGCCCATAAATGCTCCACGTTTAAGGGTTGATTAAACTCCTATAAACATGTTGACTTGCTCCTCGTACATAGGTCGCCCATAAACGCTACGCGTACAAGGGTTGATTAAACTCCTATAAACATGTTTACTTACTCCGCGTACATAGGTCACTTATAAACGCTCCGCGTATAAGGGTTGATTAAACTCCTATAAACGTGTTGACTTGCTTCGCGTACAGAGTTCGCCCATAAATGCTCAGCGTACAAGGGTTGATTAAAATCCTATAAACGTGTTTACTTGCTCCATGTACATAGGTCACCTATAAATGCTCTGCGTACACGGGTTGAACAAACACTTATAAGCGTGTCAGCTTGTTCGACATACACAGTCCGGATAGTCAATTACGAAAATGATGAAATACCCAAGCCTAAGCACACCAAAAGAAACTTGGGGCTTGTGAGTATCAAAATCACACATGACCAACTACCAAAGGCTTATAAAGAATTGGGAGCAAGTCTCTGACAAAAGGACACCGAAGTCAACAATGTAATCGGCACCTAAGACTATAAGAGTTCTGGACTCTCTAAAGAGTCAAAGCTATATATCCTAAGGCTTTAATAAAAGATATCCGAGAAACGAGCTATCCAAAATGTCTTAGGAATCAAACTAAGCAAAGCAAAAAGTCAAAATAATGTCCGACACTTTATAATCGGACACCTTAAGTTATTCTAACTTAGTGCCCGAGGGGCTAGATATACGCACATGATTATTTTGCAAAGGAATTAAAATGATGATAAACATAAACAACATTAAGAAAAGCCATGAAAGGGCCAAGTATTGTGCATTACAAAGCCCGAAGACTGAAAAATCATAAGAAAAAGAGGGGACAACACCACAATCCCTTACAAAAGCAGAAAATTCATCAAAAGCATATCCAAAAGGATTTCTAATCAAAACAAGGAGAAACTTCAAAATCAATCAGCGGCCGAGGTGCCATTCGCGCCAGCGTCATCCGGATGCTCATCCCCGTCATTATTGACAAGAGTAGAAGATTTCTCCAGGTTCTCATCCATTTCTACAAGGCGGCCATCCCACACCACTTTGAAATAATCCACCTCAGATAAATCCAACCCAGGATGGAGGCATAAAAGATAAATCAAGTAGAAGAATAAGATAAATCAAGAAGGGTAAGGAAATACCAGTGGGTAACGAGAAGCTGGAAATTGAAATAGGAGTTTAATCGTTAAAAAAGATGATGCAGAGCCGAAATGAGAAGAGGGAGAGAGGAAAGAAAGACTTTTAAAGGACTTAACACCCAAGGATAGCTAGGGAGTAGCCATTAACAATCGTCATTACATTGGAGAAAATGAAAGGACACGAACTTCCAAGGAATTCATAACACGTAAGGATCTGAGAAGAAATGCCGACCTATAGCACGACATCAGTCAAATATATCTAGGCTCATGTTACTGCCGAGTATTGTACCCTTGTAAACGGATATAGTACTCGGGGGGCTTATGTACATGCCAAGTATATTTTAAGCCGAGTTGTATAGCCGGACAAGGTTAAGTATGAACTAGACTACGATAGCAAGAAAGGTCGAGCAATACAGAGAGTTAGGCAAGTATCTCCTATAACCCGAATCGGTCACATAACCTGACTCCCACCAGCCGAGCTTCTAGGAAGTCGAGTACATACCCCATCAACCTGGTACTTACGCCGGACATGAGCTCAACCGGCATACCAACCGTTGTAACGGTGGTGGCGCATTAATATAGACGTTACTAGAGCTTCAAAGCCTACATTCATGAAGGGAGTTACAACAATGATGGCCATGTAACGCTAGAAGGTCAAGAGACTTCTCTTAACGACATATCTTAATGAAAGACTATAAAAGAGGCTCCCACATGAGGGTTAAGCAAGACACAATCATCTTGAGACAATACACAGCACCAGCGTAGCTCTCAAATCCTCAAATATCCCTCACAATATAGACAACGTAGTTCTTCTTGTCCAGGACAAGGGGAATTAACACTTTTGGTGCATCTAACCATTTTTGGCTAGAACAGGGTTATGTTGGCCAAAAATCTAAGTCTTTCCAAAGTTGAATTCTTAGTGGACAATGCTGAAGTTTTCAAAGATTTCACCAATAGAAAGATGGTTAAAGCTGGTATAAGCTTGGTGTGCAAAATAAAAGAGGATCTTAATTGTATAGATTATTATCGTTTTAAAATTATTTTCCGTGAAACTAACATTTGTGCGAATCAGTTAACTAAAGCTAATCTCTCTTCTAATCATTTAGATTGTATTTTTTACTATTGTCCTTCTTTCTTAATTGGATCTGTCCAACAAGATTTTGAAGGGATTGGTTAATGTTGGTTTTGTGGACTTTGGCAAATAATAGTTTTTTTATTTTTATTTTTATAATTTTTTATATAATTATTTAATACAATTAAATTTACATTATATATATATATATATATATATATATATATATATATATATATATATATATATATATATATATATATATATATATATATATATATATATATATATATATATATATATATATATATATAGTAACGTGAATACAATTTCAATTATTTAAGTTGACTTATTTTATTATTCGCAAGATGGATTCTAAAACAATTGTTTATTGCTATTAATATTTTTGTTTGAAAGTGGAGTTAAAAGACAAACACCACTTGTTGAACGTTGCCGGTGGAAATTACCGACCATTCCCATTTCCCGGTAGCAAAAATTAAGAATAAAAAAAGTGGAATAAGACCATAAACACAATGCCAGAAGGATAAGGACAAAATCGTCAATCAACCAAAAAAGAATCGAAACGCATTCATTTCTGTCTTTGTCGTCTTCGTAAATCTTCAAAAACAGGTGCACCCCCTATCCTTAACCTTTACTTCACCTGCCCCATTCCCCACTCCCATTTTCATCTCACACACACCGTTATTATCTCCCCAAACTCTTTCTTTATTATTACTTAAACCAACCCCCTCTTTCTTCTTCTCACACCCCTTTCATCCTCTTTTTCTCCATTCACCAATCTTCCATCTTTCTCGTTGCAGGAAAAACAAAACAAAATCCAAAAGGATATTCAATTCCGGTTTCAATGAAGCGTTCCCTTTCAATTTCACCAGCAACGAGCGAGGACAGGAAGATGAAAAAGGTGAAGGAGACAGAAATTGATGAAGTTTGCGACAAGAATCGCGGGTTAGCGAGTTTCGATGAAAACATGTTGTTTGAGGTTTTGAAACACGTGGACGCTAAAACGTTAGCCATGGCTGGTTGTGTGAACAAACAATGGCATAAAACGGCGCAGGACGAGAGACTTTGGGAGCTGATCTGTACGAAACAGTGGGCGAACACGGGTTGCGGTGAACAACAGTTGCGATCTGTGGTTCTTGCACTTGGTGGGTTTCGTCGTCTTCATTCTCTTTATATTTTACCTCTTTCAAAGCCTCAAACATCATCATCGTCAACATCAACGTCATCGTGTTCTTCGTCCTCGTCTTGGGGTCCAATACCGCAGGTGATTCGGTCGAAACCGTTACCTCGTTTGGGGAAAGACGAGGTTCATTTATCTCTTTCTCTTCTCTCTATTCGTTATTACGAGAAGATGAATTTCAGTAACAGAAACCTATGAAATTTCAGAATTCAATCCTCCATTCCTATGTTGATTGTTGTTTTTTACTTTTGTTTTTGTCCGTCTTTCTTATTATTTGGAATTGGATTTTATTTTATTTTTATTTTTATTTTGTGCTATTTAGTTACCAGATCTGGTTTTTAATTCTGGCAATTAGTATGTAAGCCTTGTTGAAGGGTTGTATTTTAATTATATTTTTTAATTAGTATGATACTTTAAATATATATATTGAATTTGGGAACATGAGATTTTTATCTAGAGATTTTAATTACGTACTAGTGGTTAAGGTTATAGTGGTGGGGGGTAAGTTGCCGAAAGGGGAGGTAAGGAAGGAGCAATTGGTGTTTTTTCCGAATGAAGACAAAGAGACAGACGAAGAAGTGTTATAGTGGTAATAAATGTGGCTATTCTTTCTGGCACTTACTTTGGGAGAATAAGTGAACGACACACATGAATTTGGCGTTTCATTGGTTATGCAAAAGCCAAAAAATTTCTCTCTACGACGTATTTGTCGTATGGGGGAGTTCTATTTCATTCGTGAATGATAAACATTGTTTAGGTATTAGATCAATGGTTGGAGACTTTTGAACGAATATATTATGTCTTTTTCTATTTGTTTGGGTCACAACAAGATGAGGAAAGGTGGAAATGACAACTACGCTATTGAGAAATTTAACTTTGGACAAAAACTCAACTAAGATAATTATTGTAAGAGCAACTTTTTTTTTTTTAAGCAAAAATTTATTAACAACACACACTGCTAATGAGACCGAATTACAAACAACAGTCCACCACCAGAGCCAATAAAGAATCAAACAAACCTTCTACATGCATATTCAAATCAAAATTAAGCCACCAACACACCCCTGCCTGCAACATTGATTAAGCAAAAGTTAGAAATTGCAAACAATTAAAGATATCTGACAACACTAGATACATTAGATACAATAGCAAGCCTCTACCAGATAGATCTTCTTAGATTGGAGTACACCAAACACCTCAGATGCACAGTCGAAGGCAGTTGTTGCGCGAACAAGCCTCCCTAACAAAACGAACCTGTTTTGGACCAGGTTGACGCTTGACCCATAGTCGAGCAGACCTAAATCCCACCAGGTCGAAAACGCCCAATAAGACCTCATTATCGGGCAGAGACCTGTCGGATAGAGCATCTTCTCCCGTCGGGCACAGACCAATGGCGGTCGGACAGGATCCTCATATCTGCCCGACTCGCCCTCTTCTGCCCTACGGTCGGGCAGAACCCATCTAGCTCGGGAAGCTCCTCTGACCTCCCCCACGTTCTCAATGTATCCCCTACGCGGAGACACGTCATCAGGTAACTATTCGTGTCACGATTATTTGGTCATCCACCTCCCGGATAGCACGAAACAGTTACACTAGGGCGAAGACCACGTGCTGGTCTTCACGACGCCACGTCAGCCCTAGCAGTTACCAGCGTTGGGCCTGGCAGCCCAGCCCAACGCATGGTAACCATTGGCTCTACGCTGGGGGCTCATTATAAATACTCTCTTCCGCTAGAGGGTCAGGTAATCTAATTCTTACTCCTTTCTCTGTGTACTTGTTATCACTCTGCTCGACTCTTACTTTGGCATCAGAGTGTGTTTCAGGTACACCCCCCCTATCATCTCAGCAGTCCAACAGCTCAGACGCGTGATCGATCAGCGATCTCTTCTAATCTGGTACGATCAGAACCTAACAGCCAAAATAAAAAGACAATAAATAAGAACTGCCAAACAATAGGGGCCTCCAACCAAAAGCAAAAACCTTCACTTGATGAAAAATTAGCACACGATATCACTAACACCCGATACCAACAACACCCCCACCACAAACAACAAGAATTCCACTTGAGGACACAAGAGCCAAAAAGATAAAGCATAAATGTTTGAACATGAAACTCAAAACGAAACCGCTGCTTAAAGCTGCTGCAACTTGCCTTCTGCATATAAACAAATAAAACAAAACAACAAGTTAACATCCACCAATACGAACAAGGGTCAAAACATTAAATAGACCCTTACTCAAGGATGAGCGTTGGATTCACGTGCCATTGGATCAAGCTACAACTAAGGTACTTCTATTTGCTTCTCAACAAGTTCCATGATAGCCTTTGGGCATTTTCAAATATTTGCTCAATGGGTTCAACTTTGTTCTTGAAAATTATGTTGTTTCTTTCCTTCCAAATGCTTCAAATGCTCGCGAACCATACCACTCTGACCTTTTTTATACTCTCTCGGTTGTACCCAATGATGGATTTGAACTGCTTGTTATGACCCTAATTGTCTCTAGGGAGAGCATTTGAAGCTCCAAGCCACCTCAAAACCTTCCGCCAGATTTCTGCAAAATTGGGACACTCAAAGAAAATGTCAGTTGCCTACTCTTTCTCGCCGCACCCAGCGACAGAAAGGTTATTATCTTGACCTAAAACGCCCATTTTAACTAAGTTATTTTTAGTTGTGAGTCAATTTTGAAATAGTCTCCAAATTAGGCATAACACCTTCAATGGAACCGTCTTAAACCAAGTCGCTACCCACTCCACGTGATTTCCGACCTGCCTATTACCCTCAAAGCCTTGTATATATCCTTGATAGAGTATTCTCCCAAATTCTCAATCTCGCCTATATCTACATTACAAATATCTTTCCACCATAACGAATTGTGTGTATTGAGAACTCTCGATAATCCTTCACTGTTACTATACCTCTCCCATAAAACTTTTAAACCAAGGCATACTTCTTTTCTTTTTGATTTTTCAAGCCCATTTGCCTAAAAGAGACCTATTAAAATCACCTAAATTTATTATACCCAACCCTCCATCTTCTAATGGAGTGAATATAGAATCTCAATTGATCCAATTGATTTTCCTTCCGCTCTTTATACCTCCCCCAAAAAAATGTTTAAAGATGGATTCGATTTTAGAGATAATACATGTAGGAGCATAGAAAAATGAAAAGAAATAGACCGGAATCGCCATCAAGATAGATTTCAAAACAATCACTTTATCGCCAATTAATAAGTTCTTGTGCTTCCATTTGGATAGTCTTGCTTTCGCCAAGTCCAAGACTGGTATCCACGTCTTCTCAGATCTGGGATTAGCTCCAATTAGGATCCCTAAGTATGTGAACACGATCGTTCCCACCTTACACCTTATAGTTCTTGCAGCTTCTCTAAGCCAACAATCACAAATATTGAAGTCGATTAAATTGCTCTTCTGATAGTTGACTTTCATCCCCGATAACACTTCGAATAAAGACAAATTTGCTTTAATAAACCTAATATTCCTCTAGTTATTCTCTCCAATGATTATAGTATCATTTGCGTACTACAGATGCATGTATCTATCTCTTCCATTTTCGAATTTGTATCCGGTATATCTTCCCAACTCCACTGCTCTTTTCATTAGGAGGTTAAAACTGTAACACCCCACTTTCCCAAATTAAAATAAAATACGATTAAATCAATTGAATATCAGAGTTTCCCTTCAAAAGTGGGATATCACATTCACAAAATTCAGCAAAACACTTCATTACATGATTTTCAAATTAAAGCAGCAGAAAGTTATCATTATCCATCATTCACGGCCATCCGCCAAAACACACCAATTATTCATTAACAAGGTTCACAAAACTTGATACGTCACATGAAATAAAACAACTCAACATAAAAACAAATAAACGCCCAAGTCTCGTGTTACGTATCAGAGCATCCTACGACTCGACTCACACACCACTATCCAAGCTAGCTATGTACTTGGATTATCTGCACTTCCGAGGAAGCACAGACCACAACAACAACAAAGGGGTGAGAAAACATGATCAAAATTATTGGTAATAAAATACATGAATAAAAGGCAGTAAATAAATAAATCATTACCCCACCAACATCAATCAGAACCTACTACCCAATCATCAACACAACATATCATAATGCAAGAATGTAACCCAACACATGCATACGGTACCGACTCATCATCACTGATGGACACCGGGCCATCAACCCTCCTCAAAGGAGCACATCACCACTGATGGACACTAGGCCATCAACCCTCCACAAAGGAGCACATCATCACTGATGGACACTGGGCCATCAACCCTCCACAAAGGAGCACATCAAAAACAGGATAGATCACTTACGCTCCTCCTGAGACATGATCTATCCCCCACAATCACTGATGGACGCTGGGTCATCAACCCTCCACAATGGAGCACATCATAAACATCATAAGAGAGTATGGTTGAATCACTTACGCTCCTCCTGAGACATGATTCAACCCTACCAAGACACCATGTTATGCACAACACATAAACATCAAGCACACTAAGTGCACACGATCCTACTGATCACATCACCATACATCATACATATATATATACACCAGTCCATTATATCAATCAAGTTAAATATTAGGGAAATCATATTGAACACCGAGTACATACGATCCTCCCGATCACCTTATTATGCATCATATATATATATATATATATATATATATATATATATATATATATATATATATATATATATATATATATATATATATATATATATATATATATATATATATATATATATATATATATATATATATATATATATATATATATATATATATATATATATATATATATATATATATATATATATATATATATATATATATATATTACCCACCATTTAATCATGTCACTTAAATTTAATATTTCATAATTACGCCTTTCCACACCAAGTATACTCTCTTCACCACTAAACAACATCTCTCGACCTATCACAATCCAAGGAATCCTACAAAATGAATCACAAGGCAAAACAGCCCAAAAATCACATTTTGTCATGCTCGCTGGCTCACTCGCCTAGCGAGGCCTCAACGAACGCTCGCTGTCTCATTCGCCTAGCGAACCTGCTAGCGAATGCAGACACTGGCTACTGGAAGTATTCGCTACCCAACTCGCCTAGCGAATCCCTAGCGAAAGCTCGCTACTAGC